CTCCTGGCTCCTGCCTGCCCTTCCGCTGGTGAGACAGGAGAGAGTAGTGCCTTGTCTGTGTGTGACTGGTGTGAGGGCACGAGGCGAAGCCGGCAGCCTCTCCTCACCTCTTCCCATGGCGCCCGTGGCCAGAGGACTATTTACAACCCCAGGCAAGGTTTCTCAGAGTGGGAGGGGGTCATCATCTTCTGAAAAACCCATTACCGGGTGCGGAAGGATTCCTACATCAGCATTCTCATGCTCGGATCAGGGACCTAAATGTGTCGACAAACATAATGAGTGTCTGTGGCAATTTCTTTGTTCCCTAGGTTTTTGGCCAAAGGGCACTTGGCTCAGAGTAGGCAGTCCCGAAAGCAAATCCTTCTTTAGCGGCTGTGTGTTTGGGATAAGTGACTTGCCCTTACTCTGGGCCCAAGCTTCTACAACTGCACATCCTGGTGATATTTCTGACTTCTCAGGGTTATTACGAGACCAGAAAGACTGTGGTGTCTGGCACAGGAGAAGGGCGTCATCATTGTGCACTGGGTGGTGTTGAGACAATAAAAAGGCTTTTGCTGCCTCTTCACACATGCAAGGAGGACGTGGCTCTGAGGAGCGGCAGCTGGGAGGGGACGCTAGTTAAGGGTGCGGGAACAGTGCTGGGTGGCTTGTGAGAACACCTGCCATGGCAAACCCCAAACAGACACCTTGCTTTCGACACTTCTGCAACACAGCCCACCTGCCTCCCTGCAGACAGAATTCCGAGTCTTCCTCACCCGTGCCTTCATACCCTCGCAGCCCAAGCCCATGCAGCCTCCGTCCTGGCTGGGGCCCCATCCTCCATGCCCCTGCCTCACTTGGCTTGCCAGGCAAACATTTTTTTCCTTCTGAGGCTTTTATAGCTGCAGGGTTCCCTGGGAAATATCTTAGCCAAAGCTGTGCCTTACAACACCCTGATGCTAGCTGCCTTTCCCAAACACATTTTCCCTCGGCGTTGCTATTTTTAAAGCTCGGCCGAATGTTCACACGCTAGAGCGGTGGCAGGCGAGGGGCTGATTCTCCCTGCAGGGGAATGGAAAAGCTCCTTCCTTCTCTTTCTGGTTGGAGTCTAGCCTGCAGGCTGACCAGCCACCTCCCCTCCTCCTGTCTTCTCAGCAGGGACATCTACGAGGGTTTCCAAACAACCGCTCTGGGGCCCTGGCAGCCGGAAGCCTGAAGCGGTGTGCTGAGCAGCAGCAGGAGCAGAGCAGCGGCGGAGGGGGGGTCCTGCCGGCACACGGCACGCTCCCACCTCTCAGTGAAGCCTTCCCGGGAGTGCTCGCATGGGAGTGCTTGTTATGGCCATGATGAGATAAACGCGCCAGCAGGATGCTTTGAAACAAAGGGGGCTTGGAACCATTTTATTATCCCTTTTTTATTCCTCTTTGCCTACGTATTTTCAGGTGATATGATAAACGACTTAGGTTTGCACCTGGACGCTTTGACTCAGAGATCTCCAAGAGAGGTAACAATCTCTCTCTCTCCCTCTCTCTCTCTCTCTCTCTCTCACACACACACACACTGCTGTTCTGGCACAGCTGCCACGGAGATAATTGGTTTTACTAGAGATCGCACTTTCTAGAGCAGTTATTGGAGATGCAGGCAGGTGAAGAAGCCCCTGAACCATGCTGAGGTTCCCTTACAGAGTGAATCCTTTACAGAGAGCAATGGTCCATGGCCATGGGCCACATGGACCAGTATCTGTAAAACAGAGACAGAGCTTAATGATCATGGTGACCATTAATAAATACTAGCTGGAAGGAGGAGCCACAGTATTGACTTTTGAATTGAATCCCAGCTCTGTCGCTGGCTGGCTGTGCAACCTTGGACAAGTTCTTTAACCTCTCTGAGCTTCAGTTTCCTCAACTGTGAAATGGAGTTTGAAAGGTGCAGACAACAGTCAGAAGGATGTCCCCAAGATGGCTCTGCCTCCCAAAGACAACAAAGGCCCTAAGCGGTTTTTCCCGACGGCGCAAAACTTGAACCTGTGCTCAAACAACCTCTTCCTATAGAAATGCTGCCTCATAGTCTCCTCCAATGAGACCCAGGCACAGCGCGGGCCAGCCCCTACGAGGTTCAAGGTTCATAAATATACCCTTCTCCCTGCATAGCTCTCTCTCTCT